TAAAAGGGAAATTTCCTAGAATTGAAGGACATGAGTTCATGATCATGAGTCCATCAAGTATTTAGCACAACAGGTACAAAAAGATGCATGTCAAGCGAAATTTTAGAACATTAGGGACAGAAGGGAGCAGAAAATCCTAAGAGCTTTCAGATCCAACACAGTGGGACAAGAATCAGAATGGGGGTCTTAATAGCAACACTGGAAACAAGCAGGTAATGCAAAATTCTAAGGGAAAATGATTTAGAAACTGAACCATTAGTTAAGCATAAATGTAGAATGAAGGTATTTTCCAGATACAGAAGGTATCAAATGTTTTGTCTTCCATGCATCTTTTCTCAGGAAGCTCAGGGAGGATGTGCTCTACCAGAACAAGGAAGTAAACCAAAAAGAGAACAAAGGATTTGGGTAACACAGGATCCAAAATAGGAGAGAGGTGGAAGGACATTGGGGTGATTACAAGATCATATTTATCCAATAGGCTTAGAGGGCAATCAGTCCAGCTTGGGGGTCAGAAGTCTGCCAGGGAAATCTTTTCAGGGTGAAATTGACAAACTACCTGTTAGGTCTGAACACATTGGGATATTCAGACAATTGGCAAGGAGTTTGGGGTTGACTTAGTGATCGACCCTGATTTTTAATCTAACAAATATATTAGTAGCATGTGGAAATGGGAAGGTGAGGTGAGGGTAGGCAGTGAGGTAAAAGAAAGCTAAACTCTCATCTGCCAGATTGGAAAGTCAGTAGATAATGCTTAAAATAGAAAAATGGGAGAAATATAAAAATGTTACTTACAGACAAGGCGGCAAATACCTTAAGAATCAGCTAAAAGAAAGTGGTTGCCTCTGGGGAGCAGAAAATAATGGAAAGAGAAAGAGATCCTTAAAAAAAAAAGCCTAGGGGCGCCTGGGTGGCACAGTCGGTTAAGCGTCCGACTTCAGCCAGGTCACGATCTCGCGGTCCGGGAGTTCGAGCCCCGCGTCGGGCTCTGGGCTGATGGCTCGGAGCCTGGAGCCTATTTCCGATTCTGTGTCTCCCTCTCTCTCTGCCCCTCCCCCGTTCATGCTCTGTCTCTCTCTGTCCCAAAAATAAAAATAAACGCTGAAAAAAAAAAAT